CCCCTTATAAAAAGAAAAATATAATGAGAGATTGAGACGATTTTCAGATAATGTATAGGGATAGAAATGTTTCCTATGACCCAATTATTATACATTATTTGGAATGATCAATTACAAAAGTTAGAAAAATGCCGAGGGTGTCGATCCAGTATGCGAGTTCCCATTTGTTTACTCTCTAAAAAGAATAAGTCTGGGGGAAAGAAAGAACACCAAAGAAAAAATATATAAAGAATTGTCGATTTATCATGGTATAGTACAGGAATGAGTCTAGAAGGATCTTGAATGTTATCTTGTTTGATGAGACCCAGAGATGAAAGCCTGGTGGATATAGTTGTGGAACTTAGGTATGGAATCTAGAATGTTGTGTAAGCTTGCAGAGAAGTACATGTTGGTTAGGATTTGATTAGACTTGTTAGGCATATGGACTTAGTTTAAATGATCATGGCAATAAGCTAAAGAATGTTGGGAGTTCCTTTGTTTTCAAACCTCTTCCACGGGTTCGGCTTTTGTGTTTTGCTTGAGGGCAAGCAAAAGCTAAGTTTCGGGAAGTTGATATATCTCTATTTTTACTGTTTTTAACTATGTTTTAGGTATAGGTTTTAGAGTCTAATTGTTATTTCTAGAGTCTTTTCTAGTCCTTTTCAGGTTTTTACATGTTTGGGATGCATTTTGAGATTATTGAGTATTCTGGAGGTTAAAAGACAAGTTAAGCTGCTGAAGAAATCCGGAGACGAAAATGCACGTAGGTGTCGAACGACACCACCCCTGGTGTCGAGCGACACCAATACCTGACGGCAATTTCGAGACGCAACTTATTGATGTTTTGAAGATTTCCAAATTTGGCCGAGAACTTTCTCCTATTTCTAAAGAAGGCCCATCACGTGTTTTAGGTCATATATATAGTTTTTACGGTCATTGTTTAGACCTAAGCTTGGAAAGACTATTCTCCTCATCTCTTTTGTACTTTGGGAGCAAAACCCTGTGGAGACTGCCTTTGGAGAAAATCTTCTTTACTCTTTCTCTTGCTATTATTGATTTCTTATTCAGACTATGATTTGTGTTTCTTTGATCATGTCTGAGTAATCCACTTGTTAGGTTTAGGGTTTCTCATTAGGGATTCATATGGTTTATTAAATCGCCCCTCTGCTAGGTTATCTGTAGAATTCTTCATCTTTAATTGTTCTTAATACTAGATCTAGATTGATCACCTAGAACGTGAATCCAGACAATAGATATCTCAATTCCCGTGGGATGGCCCCAAAAACTCGAGTTCCTTTTGGATTTCCTTTCTGACCAATGACAACTGCGGCATTGTCATCATATCGTATTATCGTCCCATTGTTACGTTTGAGTTCTTTACAAGTACGTACAATTACAGCGCTAATCACTTCTGATCTTTCTAGAGGAGTATTTGGTATTGCTTCTTTGATTACAGCAACAATAACGTCACCAATATGAGCATATCGGCGATTACTAGCTCCTATTATTCGAATACACATCAATTCTCTAGCCCCGCTGTTGTCTGCTACATTCAAATAGGTTTGTGGTTGAATCATATCATTTTTTTTGTATCTCTTCTTTTAATGCAAAGGATGAAGTAAAAAAATATTGTTTGTCAAAAAAAGAAAACTTATAATCTTTTTACCCTTATATGTTATTTAGTTTTTTCATTATATATTCCTATTCAGAAATAATGAATTGGTTTTTATAGGCATTTTTGATGCCGCTATTGAAATAGCTTTTCTTGCTATATTTTCGGGAACACCACCCATTTCATAAAGGATTTTACCTGGTTTAACCACAGCTACCCAATACTCAGGGGATCCTTTCCCAGAACCCATACGCGTTTCCGCAGGTCTTACTATAACTGGTTTGTCTAGAAATATACGTACCCAAATTTTTCCACCACGTCGTACATTTTTTGTCATTGCGCGTCGCCCTGCTTCTATTTGTCTAGATGTGATCCAAGCGGGTTCATAGGTATTTGTAGTTAGATCTATTATTTGATGACCCTAGTTTATAGGTGTGTAATAAGAATCGGCCTATCTACTAAGATGAACAATTGAACTCGTTTAGAATGCATGTTTAGGTTAAAGATCTCTCGGCTTCTCCGGTTAATCTTAGCTATAGATATAGGGAATTTCGCGGAACACCACCGGTTATTCCATAATTAGAGTTTGAGTTTAAGAATAGTTCGATAACAACCTAGCTATTATTAGATCTACTAACCAATAGTTTCCTGAGGATACCCTAAGCCTGACGTTTTTACTTTCTTGTCTTACAACTTCACAATTTGCTATCACTTTCATTAGTATCTTACTTAGCTTAATTCAAAACCTTGGTCTATTGTGTGATCCGAGAGCTTTGTAGAATTCGACCCTTAAGTGCTACAATCGATCTCTTATTTGAGAGAGTGGTCTTAAGGCAATTTGACCTATATCAACAGTTACCCCCAAAACGTAGGCAAATCGTAACCATCTTGCTAAAGAAGTCTGATATAGCTTTAGCAATGGCTATTGTCAGCGAGGCTAATAAACAAAAGGATGGTGCTATAGTGAGATGTCTATAATTTGCATGTTTTACACATCCTTTTACCACCATTTTGAGTCTAGTTTCATCCATCTTTCATAGCATTCACCATGATTTTTGTACATTTTGCATCTTTAGTCGAATCTAGGACTAGTCTTGCATACATTCTGCATTCTCGAGTTGTTTCAGGTGTTTTGGAGCTATTGGTGCTCAGAAAGAGGAAAAACATAACCGAAAGTCACATTTCCACCAACATACTCGATCACCAGTAGCAGAGAGGGAAGCAGTCAGCTCAGCAGTCCATCAAGATACTTATACTCGATCGCAGAGGAGAGGAGGCAGTCCATTCTGCAGTTCTACTCGATCGTAGAGGTGAGCAGGCAGTCCACTTTGCCAGTCCATTAGTTCTACTCGATCGCAGAGGAGAAGAACTAGTCCATCCTGACAGCTGACACAGATACTCGATCATAGAGGCCAAGAAGCAGCCCAGACCATTCTGTCAACCAACCTACTCGATCACCACCTCGACCCTCTGATCAATCTGCACTCAACCAGACAACCTGAGCAACAGAAAGAGAAGAGAAGATAAAGCCCACTTCGAAGCCCATTATGAAGCCTACTTTGAGCCGACACTCTTGATCACATCGTCCATGTGCCGTTAAGTGGGCTCGAAGCCCTCTTTCTTATCCTTACCGTTTTTAGTATAAATAAGTCTCTAAGGGTTTTGCCCTAAGCCATCCGAAGACTTATAGACTTTTTACAGAGTTTTTCTACAACTTATTCAGTACCCGCTTTTTATTCCTACAACTTTGTATTTCGATTTTTCTTCTAAGTTATTCAGATTTTGCTTTCATTTGCTTGTTCATCTTTGTTTCATTCCCTTTAATATCTTAAGTATACAATCTTCATCGTTTATATGTTATTGTCTTTAAGGATGTTGTCTGAGTAATTATTAGGATTTCTGAGGATGGGATAGAGTAGTTGTGGAACCCCTTGTCGAATCTGCTCGTTAAGTGTAGATTTATTGAATCCCTTCTGGATTAGTTGTGTTTACTCCTTATTCCTTTTTGATCAACTGGATTCCGATCCTAGACGTTCCAGCGATCAGAAGGGGTTTAATGGAATGAAGGATCTATTAATTCTAGTGATAATCGTCTATATCCCAAGGGATTGGCCGTTTAGAGCGGTTATTGGCTTTAACAGTCGGTTCTTATTACCTGCTTAGTTAGAGATCGCTAATGGGAATTAGGTCAGTGTCTAGCTATGCTTGAGGATTTCTATCATGGGAGTGAATTAATCTGTTATTGAACCTGCTGTCTAGGGATAGCTTAATTGAGATTTGTTCACCAACGGAATTGATTAGGGAGACCACACTATTCGATTACCCCATCCTTAGGAGTTTCTCATCCAATTGATTTCTCTGTTTACTTACTTGCTTCATTCACTTGCTATTGAATTTTAGTATTTTTCTGTTTTCAACCATTCTACTCGATCACACCTTGTTACTAACGGTCAGAGTGTGTGACAGAGTAAACAGGTCCATTTCTACATTTTCACTCTCTGTCATCCTGTTGTACTCGATCACAGGGTCCTTTCTGGCAGTCGACCCTGCAATCGACTATATCAGTCATTTCTATGACTTTTTACTGTTTTCTACATCAACATTAAGACTGTTAGAAAACCAACCAAATTCTGTTTGGCTTGACTTACCAACTTCTGATCATATCTCATCTGTCTGCATCACACCCATTTGGATTAACACTTAAAATACTACAACGACAGGATAGTGTTTTAGGATTAATTGACCGTGAAAACCTACTATCAATTTAGCGTCGTTGCCAATTGGGTGTTCTTTTGCTATATTTGAGATTTTTGGAAACGTTTTAAGATCAAGTTCGTTTGTTACACGGTTACTGACTTTGTGTCTTTTTCCTCTGTTTGTGTGTTTCAGGTACTCACATTCACCAACTTCCTTGGACAAGTGTCTGATTGGTCTGTTCAAGCTATGCTGATACCTGTTGTATGCAAACACGATCACAAGGACATCAGAACCTCCTCTTCAACGACAGCATCGACCGCATCGCTCGTTGTAGATGAGCAAGAACTGCCCAACAACATTGGCGCTGGCGACTTCCCACACAACCATAACCTTCGTCATGGCATTATCCCTTCGCCGGTTCAGAACAACAATTTTGAGATCAAGAGCGGTCTCATTGCTATGGTTCAGGGGAACAAATTTCACAGCTTGCCAATGGAAGACCCAGTCGATCACCTGGACGAGTTTGAAAGGCACTGCAGCCTAACAAAAATTAATGGAGTTAGTGAAGATGGTTTCAAGTTTCGCCTGTTCCCGTTTTCACTTGGAGACAAAGCCCATCTGTGAGAAAAGACGCTACCCAAGGATCAGTCACAACCTGAGACGACTGCAAGAAAGCCTTCCTGGCTAAATTTTCTCTAACTCCAGAACCGCCAGACTCCGGAATGATATATCCAGATTCACACAGTAGAATGCTGAAACCTTCTGTAAAGCATGGGAGCGGTTCAAAGGCTATCAGACCAAATGCCCTCATCACGGGTTCAAAAAAGCTTCAGGTCTCAGCACTTTCTACAGAGGTGTCCTTCCCAAGATCAGGATGCTTCTTGATACCGCTTCCAATGGGAACTTCCTCACCCTGGGAACTTCCTCACCAAGGACGTTGAAGAGGGATGGGAGCTGGTAGAGAACTTGGCTCAATGGGAAGATAACTACAATGAAGATTACGATAGAATCATCCGCACCAGCTCTTATTCTAATGAGAAGCACCGCAGGGATATGAAAGCTATGAATGACAAGCTGGGCAAGTTACTTCTTGTGCAATAGAAGCACGTTCATTTTCTCGGTGATGATGAGACGTTCCAAGTCCAGGACGGGGAGACTCTGCAGTCAGAAGAAGTCAGCTATGTGCAAAACCAAGGAAGTTACAATAAAGGTTTCAACAACTTCAAGCAGAACTATCCTAATCTATCTTATAGAAGTACCAATATTGCAAACCCAAGGGACCAAGTCTACCCTTCACAACAGCAGAATCAACCCAAACCCTTTGTTCCATACAACCAGGGTCAGGAGTATGTTCCTAAGCAGCAGTATCGGGGCAGCTATCAAAAGCAACTTCCAGCACCAGGGTTTGCACAGCAGCTACAACAACCAGTTTCAACAACTCCAGATTCTAATTTGAAGAACATGCTACAATAGATTTTGCAAGGACAAGCAGCATGAGCAATGGATTTGTCCAAAAAGATGACAGAAATTCATAACAAGGTTGACTGCAGTTACAATGATATCAATATCAAGGTTGAAGCATTGACATCTAAGATAAGATACATAGAAGGCCAAATTGGGTCGACATCGGCACCCAAATTTACAGGACCTTCCAGAAAATCAATGCAAAATTCAAAGGAGTATGCTCATGCTATCACGCTTAGAACCGGTAAAGAATTACCCACAAAAGAAAGTCCGAACCAAAACAGTGAGGACAGTGTGGAGCGAGATGGGGAGGATTTCTGTTAGAATGAAGATTATGGTGAAAAAGCAATAGAAGAGCCTATACTCGACCAACCTACTCGACAACTAGCTCCTACAGCATCTCCTCTTGTTGAAGAACCAGGTGCTGCTAAAACCAAAGATAACATTTTCGTTCCCCCACCTTAGAAGCCCCCACTCCCATTTCCTAGTCGATTCAAGAAGGTCATGATACAAAAGTACAAAGCTCTCCTGGAAAAAGAGTTGAAAAATCTTGAAGTCACGATGCCTCTTGTTGACTATCTTGCGCTTATACTAGACCCTAACCAATATGTGAAGGATATCATCATAGAAAGGATCAAAGAAGTTCAGAGAATGGTCGTATTGAGTCACGAGTGTAGTGCGATCATCGAACAGAAGATCACACTTAAGAAATTAGGAGATCCTGGCTCGTTTACTTTACCTTGTTCACTTGTCCCTTTACCATTCAATAGGTGCCTATGCGATCTAGGCGCATCCGTAAGCTTGATGCCCCTCTCAGTGGCCAAGAGACTTGGTTTCAGTAAATACAAGGCTTGCAACATTTCTTTGATTCTAGCAGATAGATCCATCACAATACCTCATGGTTTGCTAGAAAACTTACTAGCCAAGATAGGCACAATGGAGGTTCCTACAGATATTGTGGTGCTAGAAATGGATGAAGAACCCAGGGATCCTTAGATCCTAGGAAGACCCTTCTTAGCTACAGCTGGAGCCATCATCGATGTCAAGAAAGGAAAGATCAATCTTAACATTGGCAAAGAACTAAAGATGAACTTCGACAACACTAACACCATGAAGAAGCTTACAATAGAAGGAAAGGTCTTCTGGATTGAAGAGACGGATATGTTGGCTGACGACTGCTAGAAGAGCTAGCAGAAGAGGACCATCTACAGAATGCTCGAACAAAGGATGGGAAAGAAAAAGATTTACACTTGGAAACTTTGGGGTACCGGAAGCTGTTAGATATGCATAAAGAAGTTTAGAATCCAGAGGAGTATGAGGATTTGTTTGGAAACGCAAAGGAGTAGAATATACTCGATCACGTCATTCAACAGACTGTCCACCCAATCCACTCGACCAAGCACTCGATCACAACCTTCCCTGTGAAGCCGATCTAACATCCGGCGACTGGTATGAACTCAAGGCACCAAAGGTGGAAGTGAAACCGCTGCCAAAAGGGTTAAGGTACATTTTCCTTCGACAGAACTCTACTTAACCTATTATCATTAGTGATGAGCTAAACACCGATCAAGTTAATCTGCTATTTACAGAACTGAAAAAATATAGGAGAGCTATAGGATATTCACTAGATGATATCAAGGGGATCTCACCGATTCTATGCACCCATAGAATTCATTTAGAAAACGAATCTTACTCTAGTATTGAACCTCAAAGAAGATTAAACCCAAACCTGAAAGAAGTGGTAAAAAAAAGATACTTAAACTATTAGACGCGGGTATAATCTACCCTATATCTGATAGCACTTAGGTATCTCCAGTCCATTGTGTTCCCAAAAAGGGAGGTATGACAGTCATAAAAAATTCTAAAGATGAACTGATACCCACTAAGACCATAACAAGACATAGGATGTATATCGACTATAGGAAGCTTAATGCAGCCTCTAGGAAAGATCATTTCCCTTTACCCTTCATTGATCAAATGCTAGAAAGATTAGCAAACTATCCCTACTATTGTTTTCTAGATGGATATAGTGGATTCTTTCAAATTCCTATCCACCCAAACGATCAAGAAAAAACTACCTTCACTTGTCCTTATGAGACTGTTGCCTACAAGCGAATGCCTTTTGGGCTTTGCAATGCACCTACTACTTTCAGCGGTGTATGACTTCTATTTTCTCCGATTTGATAGAGGAGACGGTTGAGGTATTCATGGCTGATTTTTCCGTGTATGGCCCCTCCTTCTTCTCCTGTTTGTTAAATTTGTGCAGGGTACTCAAGAGGTGTGAGGAAATAAATCTTGTACTGAACTGGGAGAAATGCCACTTCATGGTTAGAGAAGGAATTGTCTTGGGGCACAGAATCTCAGAGAAGGGGATAGAAGTTGATAAGGCTAAGGTCGATGTTATAATGCAATTACAGCCACCAAAGACTGTGAAGGACATCAAAAGTTTTCTTGGGCATGAAGGATTTTACAGAAGATTCATCAAAGACTTCTCCAAGCTGGCTAGACCACTCATTAGACTGCTGTGCAAAGAAGCAAAATTCATATTCGATGAAGAATGTCTAATAACTTTTAAGTCAGTCAAGGAAGCTTTAGTCTCTGCTCCAATAGTCCAAGCTCCTAACTAGGACTATCCATTTGAAATCATGTGTGATGCTTCAGACTACGCTGTAGAAGCAGTTCTAGAGCAGAAGATTGATAAGAAGCTGCATGTCATCTATTATGCCAGCAGAACTATGGATGATACACAAGTGAGGTACGCCACCACTGAGAAGGAATTACTGGCTGTGGTATTCCCATTCGAGAAATTTAAAAGCTACTTGGTGGGTTCTAAGGTGACAGTCTACACTGATCATGCTGCTCGGAGGCATATATATGCGAAGAAGGATACCAAACCCAGGCTGTTGAGATGGATCTTAGTGCTCCAATAGTTTGACATGGAGATAGTTGATAAGAAGGGAATTGAAAATGGTGTAGCTGACCATCTGTCTAGGATGAGAATTGAAGACGAGGTACCTATTGACGAATCCATGCCAGAAGAACAGCTAATGGCGATTCGGCAACTTAACGAGAGTGCTCAAATTAAGAAATCACTCGATCAAGTATGTGCAGCAGAAGACAAGCTTCCATGGTATGTTGATCACGTCAACTACTTGGTTGGTGGTGAAGAGCCTCCAAATCTGTCGAGCTATGAGAAGAAGAATTTCTTCAAGGACATTAACCATTTCTACTGGGACGAACCTTATCTTTACATACTCTGTAAAGATAAGATCTACAGGCGATGCGTCTCAGAAGACGAAACCGAAGGCATCCTACTGTAGTGCCATGGGTCTGCCTATGGTGGCCACTTTGCAACTTTCAAGACAGTGTAAAAAATCCTGCAAGCAGGTTTATGGTGGCCGACAATATTTAAAGATGCTCAGGAATTTGTCTCGAAATGTGATTCATGTCAGAGAAGAGGGAACATCAGCAGAAGGAATGAGATGCCTCAAAATCCGATCTTGGAAGTTGAGATTTTTAACGTGTGGGGAATTGATTTCATGGGTCCATTTCCATCTTCTTATGGAAACAAGTACATACTGGTAGCAGTAGACTATGTGTCAAAGTGGGTGGAAGCGATAGCCAGTCCCACCAATGATGCTAGAGTTGTGCTGAAGTTGTTTAAGACCGTTATATTCCCGAGATTTGGAGTCCCGAGAGTTGGAATCAGTGAAGGAGGGAAACATTTCATCAACAAGGTTTTTGAAAATCTTTTGAAGAAGCATGGATTAGAGCACAAGGTAGCCACTCCTTATCATCCACAAACAAGCGGGCATGGGGAAATCTCCGACAGGAAGGTAAAAACAATTCTAAAAAACTGTGGGGATTACAAAGAAAGATTGGTCTACAAAGCTCGATAACGCACTATGGGCTTACATAACAGCTTTTAAGACCCCTATTGGCACAACTCCTTTCACCCTTCTCTATGGAAAATCCTGTCACCTACATGTTGATCTCGAGTATAAAGCCATGTGGGCAACTAAACTCTGGAACTTCGATATTAAAACCGCTGAGGAGAAGCGGTTGATCCAACTAAACGATCTCAACAAGATTCGCTTAGAAGCTTATGAGAATTCCAAAATCTACAAGGAGCGAACAAAGTCTTTTCATGACAAAAATATAATTTCAAGAGATTTTAGGGTTGGTGATCAACTGCTGCTGTTCAACTCTCGCCTGAGGCTTTTTCCAGGCAAGCTCAAATCCAGATGGTCTGGTCCATTCTCTGTTACTGTAGTCCGACCTTATGGTGTTATCACTCTAGCTGGGAAGAATGGAGACTTCACAGTCAATGGGCAGCGGCTCAAGAAGTTGATGCA